TCAATAAATAGAAATCATGCTGCATTATATCCAGTGATGGGCATAGATACACAGAATTGTTTAAGGCGATACCAATGTATCGATACGAGAAATTTGGCTAAAACGATTCCGATACATTGATTCTCCGAAGACAGTTAAAGCGATACCAATACATGTATCGCCGATACAGCATCATCGATACTTTATTGTAAGAAAATAATGGACCTGAAATACAAATATTTGATACTGATGCACTGTAAAAAGTGTTTTTCAAAATCATGCGTGGATATTTTGAGGAGTTCTACACCACAGTAATATATACTACCAACATTATATTATATCATACTATTATATTATATTATACAACTGCATTATTACAACCGACAGGTTCGTAGGACTTAATGCGTTCAGGAAGAAAATCGGAAAGCCGTTCCTTTATGGGCAAAGAATGGAGGAGAGGGCCCCCTGCCTTTTTCACACTTCTTGAGCGTCACTGTCAATACCGCAAGCGAACGAGAAAGAAAAACCAATCAAAACATACACAAAAACAGATAGATAGACAGAGAGGGAAAAGGGGAATCAGAGAGAGAAAGAGAGAGGGGGAGGGAGAGAAAGAAAGAAGAGAGAGGTAGTGTGAGAGGGAAAGGGAGGAAGAAAGAGAGAGAGGGGGAGGGGAGAAAGAAAGAGAAGGGAAAGGCAGAGACAGAGAGGTAGGGAGAGAGAGAGGGGGGGGGATAGAGAGAGGGGGAGACAAAAAAAAAAAGACAGATAGAGAGAGAGAAATAAAGAGATAGTCATAGAAAGAAAGAGAGAGTGGTGGAATGAGTGATTGAGAGAGTGAGTGCGAAAAATAAAGATAGAGAGAAAAAGAGGGGGAAGAGAGAGAGAGAGAGAAAGAAAGAAGAGGGGCTGCAGAGACAGGAAGAGGTAGTGAGAGAGTGAGTGAATGAAAGAGAGAAGGATAGAGAGAAAGAGTGAGGGAGGGAGGGAAGGAAATAAAGTCGCAAAGAGAGAGAGAGAGACAGACAGAGAAGCAGCGAGAGAAAGAGAGAGAGAGAGAGACAGAGAAACAGCGAGAGAAAGAGAGAGAGAGAGACAGAGAAACAGCGAGAGAGAGAGAGAGAGAGAGAGAGCAGAGAACAGCGAGAGAGGAGAATAGAAAGAGCCACACAGAGAGAGAGAGCCACAGAGAGAGAGAGAGAGAGCACACAGAAGAAAGACAGACTGAAGAAAGAAAAAGAGAGAGACACAGAGAAACAGCGAGATGCTCCTTTAATTTCCTTTTGAAAGTAATTAGGCTGATGTTTCTAACACTTCGTGCTTGGTTGTTCAAGATCTCGGGGTCTTCGGATATGCATTTGGTCATTTCCGTGCATGAACTTCTGACGTGCAGATCCTTATTTTGTGGTTTGTTTTGTTACCTATTGTTCGTAAAGGCATTAGCCAGTGAGAATAGTCACCCTTTATGAATTTTTGAATCAGTATTCATGTGTCATATTAACATTTTTGCTGAACTTTTAACCATTTTAATTTGTTTGGGGGAGTTATGCGGTCATGTTTATTTACATTGTCTGCTGCCACTCTTGCGCAACATTTTGTATTTTTTGTTTTTTGTATTTGAGTTTTGCTGGTTATGCACCATTGTTGGAACAGCAGCGTCTAATTCCGAGTGCATGGTTTTGTAGAACAGTCATTCTCGCATCAATGGGGATTTGTGTGTGTGTGTGTTATTTAGGTATATTTAGTTAGATTTTTAACTGAATTACTTGGTTTAATAAGACAGCCTTCAAATTCTATGATTGTGTTTGCCTGGATTTTGGTTATGTTGTGTCGACTGCGTATAAAGATTCATTGTTTTATCAGGATTTAGTCTGAGGCCATTGTATTAAAAGACGTCTTTGCTTCAGTAAGAGTATTCTGTTTATTTTTTTTTTTATCAATTTACTTAAATTACTTACAGAGGCAACGCGAAGGAACTGAGTCATCGGCATATTGAACAAAGAATGAATAAGATCAATGCCTGATATGGAGCCTTGTGGAACACAAAAAGAGACTGTTTTCGTAGATTATTCATTTACGAAGTTCGACTGACTGCGTTCTTGTAAACAGGTAACTTATCCAATAATTATTAATGTCACGATGTTTCTTTTTGTTAAGCAAAATTTCATGCTGACATTGTCAAAGAAGGAGTGAGAGAGAGAGAAGGGAGAATGATGGAGGGAGGGATAGAGTGGTGAGAGAGAGAGAGAGAGAGAGAGAGAGAGAGAGAGAGAGAGAGAGAGAGAGAGAGAGAGAGAGAGAGAGAGAGAGAGAGAGAGAGAGAGAGAGAGAGAGAGAGAGGAGAGAGAGAGAGGGTATGGTAGGAAGGAAGAGTGGTGAGAGAGGAGAGAGAGAGAGAGAGAGAGAGAGAGAGAGAGAGAGAGAGAGAGAGAGAGAGAGAGAGAGAGAGAGAGAGAGAGAGAGAGAGAGAGAAAGGGTATGGTAGGAAGGATATAGTGGTGGAGAGAGAGAAAGTTTGATTGAGACACTGTAACATAGACATACAGACCTAGCCTTTATAAGGCACTGTTATGCGTTAATACAAAATATGTGATTAGGTATTTGTACGAGGGCAACATAACTCAGAGGCCGATTGTTGGCTTTGCAACAGGCCAGCTCCTCCCTGAAGACTTTATTTGAATGAGTCCCTGGCTTCAGTCAGGTTAGATTTGTGGCGGAAACCACATCCACCTGCCTCTTAATGTGCATATTTGGATGTGGTATAATACACTGGTACTAATTAAAGAAAAAGTGCCACGATTATTACCGCGATCGTTTATTGTGTATTCGATACTTGTTATTTTTTGTCAATTGTTACCTATCTCAAACTGAATAATTAATCTGATACAACATATATATTCATTCTAAAATTGTCTTACCCTTTAAACTATGGTACAATATGTAAACATACTCCATAAATAGAGAGCAAGAGGATGAATAAGGCTGTCACTTAATCAGAAATGAGTATATGTTCTTTATTGAAATGGCTTTGCCGTACAGTGCATAAAATGAAGCATCAAGGAAGGGGGGCCACCGTAGAGTTATTCCCCTTGGCTACCATGTCCCTAACTCTATCATGGTGACACTCTTGACATACCCAAGTTTTTTCTCGCTTTTATCATATATCCTTACTGTGCATGGATAAAATTCGTTTTCTTTGATTTGGACTGACATAATAACTGGAGATGTTCACCAGGTTTGGATTGTTTTCATCTCTCGTCGTGTCTATATTGCTAGCGAAGTACAGCAAGATTGTAACTTTACAGAATTGTGTCACGAGCCCTGCGGCGATTTGTTTGTTTTAGTATCAGAACCTAATATCAAAGTTTGCAAGTCATAATTTCTGGCTTTGGAATATGCTTTCAGCCATTTCCTCTACCGCCATGTGCTTAAGAAAAGCAGGCAGTGGCTCGTTATATGTTGCTGTTTTACGGCTTATCTTATGATTTGGTTTATACCTCGCATGCTTCATATTATTTGCGTCAGTATAGAGTTATTCCTGTAAGTCACGTGTCGTCTCACTTGCGAGGGAGTCCCCGCTGATGCACGTGGCCAACACGTCTTTTATGCGGCTCTGTGTTTATACGCACACGCACACGCACACACACACACAGACGCGCGAGCAGATTATCATCATCATTATTAACCCGTACCATTCCACTACAGGATGTAGGCCTATGCCAATGCTTTCCAATCCGATCTTGAGCTCTGTCTCCAATTTCGGCTCCGAATTTCGTTACATCGTCCGGCAACCTTGCCATAGGTCTGGTCCTCCTCGTGTTGGCTAAATTCCAGTCAGTTCTTTGTCCACATGTCGCCTTTTCTCCAACATATGTGACCTGCCCATCGTCATTTCTTCTTCTTAATGCTCGTATCTTATCTCTGTTCCATCTTGCCCTCATTCTGTTTTTTTCAAGTTGATTCCTTAGTAATTTAAGCTAATTCCCTGCATCCAGCTAGAACTTATTAGTTTCCTTCCCGGGAACTTGGTCGTAGGCCATTTTTCTGAAGCGTATATCATGACGGGGAAGGATGAACTGGAGTGTCCGTGCGTGAGTATGTGCGTGTGTTTATGTGCGTTTGTGTTGTATGTATGTGTGTGTGTGTGTGTCTGCGTGTGTGTGTGTGTATGTATGTATGTATGTATGCATGTAAGTATGCATGCATGTATGTATATATAGACATATTCATATATATACACATTTTTATATACATGTGTATATATATGCATATATATATATATATATATATATATATATATATATATATATATATATTTTCACACACACGCACACATGCGTATGTGTGTGTATGTATACACACACACACACACACACACACACACACACACACACACACACACACACACACACACACACACACACACATACATATATATATATATATAATATATATATATATATATATATATATATATATATAATATGATATACACAGAGACACGTGATATACTTCGATAGCGTCCAGTTTCTCATGGTCAGACAGAACGCGCGTTTTTATACTTTCCTCATATAATTTCCTATATATTTTTGGTTTGTTGCACACACACACTCATATATATTGCACACACAGAAACTCTCGTACTTGCGTGATATATAAATATATATAAAAAACAGAAGATATCTATCGTTTTACTGTCTAACATTCTGCTTTTTAATGTCTGGTGCCATAGCCCTTCAAACCCTTCTGAGTTAGGTACCACAGTTTAGATAATTGCTCTTTCGCTCTCTTCCTCACTGCACCCATCTCTATCCTTCCGTCTTTTCTATTGTCAGTGTCTGTCTCTGTCTGTATGTCTGTCTCTATCTCTATCTCTATCTGTCGCTTTCTCTCTCTCTCTCTCTCTCTCACACACACACACACACACACAAAATGTGTACACATACACACTAGCACACAGTCAGAGAATTAAAGAGACTGAAAGAGAAAGAGAGTAAGAGAGAAAGAAAGAAAGTGAGAGAGAGTTTGAGTCTTGTTTTTTTTTTTTTTTACATAATGCGATTCTTTGCTAGTAATTCACATGATTATGATCAGATTCATAGATTCTTGTCAGTGCAAAAGGTTGGCCATCTTTTCAAGAAGGAACACAAAAGACCCCACGCCGAGCCCTGTGAGAATAAGATGAAATATTAGCGATGTAATAATCCTCCATCTAATTCAGTCCGTTTCACAATTATCTCTCGACGTCCATCCCTTACTTCTCAGTGCAAAAAAGAAAATTTCAGCAAAACTTCAAACACGTCAATCGCACCTTGATACAAAAGGAAATTATTAGCAAAACTTCAAATCCACACTAATAGCACCTCGGTTCATAATATCAGCAAAACTTCAAAGCCAAGTTCATCTCACCGACGGCAAGAATGGCGAAGACCCCCCACATCTGCATAATCGCCAGCGGACTCGGGGGGACCTGACCCACTTCTTGCCCTGGACTTAGCTTACAGATGGTGCCGTTGTTCACCCGTTGGTTCACCAGCTGATCCACCCAGCCACGTTCCTGCAGCTCCTGAAGCCTGTGGAAATGGGAGAGCAGTTGGAGTGAATGGGACATGGGACGCCGTTCGGAAATGGGAGAGCAGTTGGAGTGAATGGGACAAGGAAACGTGGTGCAGGGATATGTATAAGCAGTTCGGAAATGGAAGAGCAATTGGAGTGAATGGGACATGGGGCGCCGTTCGGAAATGGGAGAGCAGTTGGAGTGAATGGGACATGGGACTTGGTGCGGGGAAATGTTTACGCAATTTAATGTAACTTAGAACAAAATACGAGGCGGTGCATTACATGACACGAGGCTGCGTGCGTGTCCTGAATTAATGGGAAAAGGACATGACACGAAGGAATGTATGCCTAGTTTAGATTTATGGAATGAAGAGCACGGTGCTAGGGGATGTATAGGTAGTTTAAATCTTTATTACGAATTGAATAAAACTGAGTAAAACAGAGAAATGTTTAGTGCTTCCAAAAATATTTATATGCAAACTTCTTGCATGATAAGAAATCTTCGCTCCTCATGATAATTTATCAAGAACGAGTTAAAGAATGCATAACCGTAAAAAAAATCTCCCGCTCTCTCATCTTCCTCCTCTTCCTTCTCCTTCTTATCATTGTTTCTCTCTTAGAACCTGATATAACTCGTTTGTTACTTGAGCAGCGACGATAATGCTAGTTCTCCATGTACTGCATTGGAACATGATACTAGTAACTAAAGGCATGCTAAAGTCGAATGAATAAGAAATACTCTGGACTGCACACTAAAGATATTTGCATATTCTAAAATCGAAGAATTAAGAATTCGCGGTCACGGGTAAAGCTCACGCTACTGTTGCCTTCGTCAAAAATTTGCTGCATGATTTAGGATATACGGAGAGAGAGAGAGAGAGAGAGAGAGAGAGAGAGAGAGAGAGAGAGAGAGAGAGAGAGAGAGAGAGAGAGAGAGAGAGAGAGAGAGAGAGAGAGAGAGGGAGAGGAGAGAGGAGAGAGAGAGAGAGAGAGAGAGAGAGAGAGAGAGAGAGAGAGAGAGAGAGAGAGAGAGAGAGAGAGAGAGAGAGAGAGAGAGAGAGAGAGAGAGAGAGAGAGAGAGAGAGAGAGAGAGAGAGAGACAGACAGAGACAGAGACAGAGAAAAAAATGTTTATGAATCAATTAGTCGGTGTACACATTCACAAACTCCAGGTCGTCGCAAGTATGTGCATACCAGAAATTGACATTCTCTTTCAAAGGTGAGTTCTTCTGTAGCACGAGCGTATACGTGTGCGTAACGATGTTCTGCCGAGGACTGTAGAAATCGCATCTCCCGGTGCTCGAGAAGGTCTTGGCAACCATCATATCTCCAGCCAATACATCACAGAGTCCTTGTGGGTGAGTCGTATGTAAAAAAAAAGATCAACACATTTCACGTATAGTTACATTAAATATTTTGATAGCAAAAAATATATATATATATATATATATATATATATATATATATATATATATATACATGTATATAATTCATGGATCCAATAAATATCAGGACAATACTATCAAAATAATAAAAGTTCACGAAAAAAATGGAAGATTTACCAGCGAATCGACCCCTGGCAATGTCCTCTCGAGCGGCAAAGCAATCCGGGAAGAAACCTTTGCTTCCTTGCAGAAGCGTCTTGTACATCTTGACGTCTGCTGTCTGTTACGAAAAAAATATTACAATGAAATGTATTAGCCACAATTAAAATGAACCATGATAATACGATTGATTATTTTCTTAACGTGGCTGTTACTTCATTTTATATTTTCGTTCATGTATTACGTGATTGCTTGAAGTGAACGAACGTTGGCTTAAATCCTACAAAAACAATGAATGTAAATGTTTTTGAAAGTATCTTTATATTGTCAGAATGTAGCAATATGTATAAGAATTTTATAAAACACGTTAGCAATTAAATCAGATTATAGTTATAGTAAAACATTCCATGAATAACAGATTTGAATTTTAAAGTGTACTTTTGGCATCAAGATAGTATATCGGGTTAAACAACTAAATATTCTAAATCAGAATATAGGCAAGATGAACAAAGCCGCAAGAACAATAAGCGCGAACATTTTAGAAAACATTCGCACAGTTGTACCAAGTGCGAATGTAAATCACGCCGTCACGCGAACCCCATCAAGCACACGCAGAGTTGATCTCACCAACTGACCTCAAAGGTATGCAGGATGATGCCCCCCTGCTCAAGACGCCAAGGCAGTTTGTCCTGCGCCACCAGCTCCTCGACGGAGGCGATCGGAATGGCGACCTTCGGGAAGCTGAGGGAGGCCACCAAGAGCCCGCTGTAGGTGTTCATGAGCACGAGGGTCACCAGAAACCACATGCCCATCAGAGCTCTCCCGACGCCGACGCCGCGCCACTCGCACGCTGCAGGAGGAGAACGACGAACGGCGATTGGGAAGGATAGTCTGCATTTAAGGGCATCGAAAGGGAAAGAGATGTGGATTGTCTTGGGAACGTCGTCGTGACCACATCCGGAGAGGAAAGGTCGTGAATTTAAGCCGTTGTTCGGAAATTTCTTAAAAGAAAATGATTTTTGAATGATGACAAACACGAAGGAGAATGAATGACCATGAAATCAATAACGTATTACAGTATAATGGGTCAGATAGCGTCGTCTTTTAATTACCGATGCGATTAACAACAATTTTCTTTACTAAATATGTGATTTGATTGTATTTCAATACCAGTCTAATGGTTGCAGATTGTTTATACGTTGGGTAAAACGCTAGTTTATATTTCAGTGTGAAGTTAAGAGCAGTCGTAATAACGCAGACAGAAACAGGATTAAAAAAATTTAAGAGATTAATACAAATCATATTTCATAACCAGCTCATGATCATTTTTAGCATGACAGATTAATGCAATTGCCACTTGGGGCGTAGACATTAAATATAATAGTTGGTAAAGTTTAGTTGAGTTCATCAGTTGTGCTAAGTGGAACACTAGTCAAGGGTAGCATTTGTCAACGAATACGTCTGGCTTTTGCTCAGGTAGAATATATAATATATATATATATATATATTATATATATATATATATATATATATATATATATATATATATACACATATTATATATATCTATATATTGATATAGATATACATATTTGTGTATATACACATATGTAATATATTATATATATATATATATATATATATATATATATATATATATATAATTTATATATCTATATCTATAGGTAGATAAATGAATAAACACTTTACTTGATAAATAAGCTAGTAAATAATTGTGTAACAAAATGAAAATAAACAATCGTAAAATCTAGTAATCACAATAATAAAGACATGAGTCGACCAAAAATGAAAGGAAACAAAGCTCCATTTTCCACCTTCCTCCTCAATTCCAAACTCACATTCCTGCATCAGCGACGCCCAGACCTGCAACAGAACCTTGAAAGCAGGCAGAGGAACCGCGAGCGTGTGTTGGCTCTGCGCTTCCATCCTCGAGGCTGCCCAGACCGCCAGGGACACCACGCAGACACTCAGGAGAACCATCAACCACACCTGCAGTAGTGGATTGGAACATTTTAACATTTCTTTCGTTCTTTGAAACGTACCTTTTTTTGTTCGTCTTTTTTGCAGCTGTTCTAGAATTTAAGGATTTCTTGCGTGTCGAACTGGCCAGTGAAAGTGTCATTTCCTAAATGTTTTGAGTGTTATTTGCATTTTATCATTAATTCACTGTCACGTTTTAGGCAGTCTGTTCCAACACAATATACATTTTTCCCTCTTGTGCACATAGCGTGTATAACCTGGTTTCTTCCTAAAATAACTAATATATATATTTCAATTCAAGCATAATTTTGGGTTCGTTTTCTTGTTAGTTGTTACCAAGCAAATTTTAAACGCGTATTGCCATTACTACGAAACATTAAATTATCAAATTTGAATAATGACATACCAAATCAGCGGAACAATAAGAATAACTGATTATCTGAATTTATAACCTCTCTGATATCAATGCGGCCAGTGCATTATTCCACCTTTCACTAATTATCTATTGTTATCCAGGAGACGACATACCAGTGGGTGAAACAACCGAACGAAATCACTGAGGTCAGGGGATCCACGCGGCCTCGGCAGGTACAGGCGGTGAGGCAGCACGAAAATGCTGGCTGGGAAGTCCGCCACTTTCGTGCGTTGGTACGATACCGCAAAGGGACCGAGCGCCATGTCGACTTCCTGGAAGTTTGAACATGATAAAAAGTCTCCGAAGATAAACTGCAGTGCTATCGCCACTATAGTTATAGTGTAAAAATTGTTTCTTTTTCCTTAAGCTATAAATTAGATGTATGTATAGTCTTGGATATCCATTATGGGTAAGATACGGGGTACTAAGTTTCGCAAAGAAATTCGTGGTGCGCGAGGGAGAAAAAAATTGTCGGGTGGTGGGACTGCAGTCATTCTACGAA